CTGCCGAGCTCAGCCAGCCGGGGCCCCACCTGCACCAACATCTACCTGGAGTCGGAGCACTCGCAGCGCATCTTCCCGAGCTGGACAGACTCAGAGCTCAGTACCAGAGACAGCTATGAGCCTGGACCCTGGCACCTGCCTGTCTCAATGCCTTTGTTTGGCAGGACTACGGCAGTCTAGTATGCCAGGCATGCCACAAGCTGCGTGGGACGGCGGCTGCTTGCACAGAAGCTGGATCCCAGCAGCCCGCTCCCCTTGGGCTGTAGGATCCACATGCCCCTCCGCCCAAGCCTTCCAGCCATGCCCAGGCCTTCACAGTTGCTAATGACCTCCCAGCTGGGGTGAGATTGGGGCTGGTCTCCCCATCTCGCCCACGCCCCTTTTTTTTCTGGGCCCACTACAGGCTCTGTTGGTGCTGACTGCAAGGGGGCCTTCTGACCTGGCCTGAACTTTGTTTCCTATTTTTTTGATTGTTACACTTTGACAATAATAAAAGTTTGTGGAACCTGATTTATTACAAACCTGGTGCTGGGTGGTTGATGAGTTTTTTTGCACAAATGTGTGTGCTGTTCTTTCTTATGTACTGCAGCAGGGAGTGAAGCAATTCCATGCTGAAGCCACCCCCTCCCAGAGTTGGAAAGGCTTGTGTCTTCCACTGCCTACTGAAGGCAGCATGTTCAAAAAACTGCATTCCTTTGTTCCTAGCGCCACCTAGAGTCGTTTTCTCCATCTTTGGTCTATGGCTTAATCCAGGGCCCTCAGCTGACTACATACTGATGTTCACAACCATTAATGTGTGTTCCCTTCTGTTTGCCACACAAAATCTGAAAACTCAGATTTTATATCCCCCCCTGCAAAATACATTTCTTAACTGTCTCTAGTAAAGGTAAAGGTTCCCTTGCTCGAAAGCCAGTCGAGTCCGACTCTAGGGTTGCGGTGCTCATCTCCGTTTCAAAGCCGAAGAGCCAGCGCTGTCCGAAGACGTTTCCATGATCATGTGGCCGGCATGACTAAACACCAAGGCGCACAGAATGCTGTTACCTTCCCACCGAAGTGGTACCTATTTATCTACTTGAAATTTCTTGCTTTCGAACTGTTAGGTTGGCAGGAGCTGGAACTAAAGACGGGAGCTCACTCCGTCATGCGGCAACTCGGGTCTTGAACTGCTGAACTACTGCACAGCCTGCAGTTCAGCGTCTTAACCACTTGAGCCACCGCAGCCTGTCTCTACATGGGTGCTTATTAGGGAGAGAGGTGGGGTATATAAATAAATACATTAAAAGCAGCATCAACAGGCAGGGGTGTGAGTCTTGTCCAGTTCTCTGTGGAATCCACACACCACTCCCACTGGCCTGGTTTCAAAATTTCAGATTTCATCAGGAAACCAAACGGCAAACTTGTATAAAAGATCCCCACCTGAGGACAGCCATGAAACCCAGGAATTGGGGCTTTACTGGCACCGAGTATGGAATCCTGGTGCAACACACAAACTCTGGAGCAGGGAGCAATTGAAAGACCTCAAGTTATTTGCTTTGGGAATACCGTGGGAAAACAACCCAGTCCTATCATAACTTCGGGGGGGGGGGGGGGACAGTATTCCTTCACTGTTCTTTGGGGGAGGGGGAAAGGCACCCAGTGCTGCAAAGCCAACTGCCCTGCTTGGAATCAATTTATTTATTAACATACATAAGCACATTTGCTGTTACAGAATTTGTGCTTTCAAAAAAACAGTTACTGTACGTGAGAGAAAGGAAACCAAGCATGGAATGGAAGAGGAAAGAGGGGTGGGGGAAAAGAGGGGTCCACCCAGAGTCTCCCCTTGTCCCAGGCTCCCAGGGCAAAGAAAGGCCTACGGAGAAGGGTCTGGAATGGGCTTGCTCTCCAACACGGGGACCGTGGAGCCAAGTGGTGGGTGGGACAAGTTTTTTGCCACGAACTGCTGTTGGAGCCCAGAGCTCTACAGGAGGGGCCCTCATCGCGTCCCTGGGCCCCTGGCTGTGTTTGGGGCCAAATGGAGAAGGTAAGGGATGAGTGCCAGAGCTTTGCCCACAGAGGGCCATCTTATTGCCATATTTTTTATTTTAAATTCGTGCAAAATATTCAACGCTCTGGGCAGAGTCTTCTGAAGGGAGGAAGGGCCCCTCCCCATCCCCTCCCCCAAGAGCAGCACACACAGGAGATGAACCCACATGGCATCAGTGGCATTGCGGGTGGGGAGGTCAGAAAAAAAACAAACCCCAACAGGCAGAGGCAATTGGGAAATGGCAAGGGGGCTGCAAGGAAGCTACCAACAAAGAGGGGACCAGGCAGATTTACACGTTTCCTATTGACAACATTAGAAAAAGAGAGAGAGAGAGAAAGAGAGAGAGAGAGAGAGCGCGCGTGCGCTGGAAAAGTTACCCCGGAGTACCACAGAGAACATCCTATCTGGCTATCTGGGGTACCATCTGAGGCCTTGGACCGCAGGGCTACAATACAGAGCAAGCAGGCACCAGGCCCTCACTGCGGCTGCCCCAGGCTTGCACACGCTGGGCTTGCGAGGTGCAGGATACAGGAGCTGGGCACGGGAGCGGCTCTTAAACGTTGCCCCCGAAGCTCTCTTCCTCTTCTGGCACTGGGTCAGCATCCCAACAGGTGATATCGATCTCTGAGGGCGAGACCAAACATATTAGCCCCGAGTAAGTGTGTCTGGGCTGGCTTTCAGAAACGGGAAGTCCAAAAGGTTTCCTTCCAAAAGCCAGTGCTCCAGAAGAGCCAGATGCCAAGGTGGCAGCCCCTTTGCCAGCACAGCAAGCGTGGCGCCAACTATTGCTACTCCACGCGCCAATCCCTGGGCTCACCTGGGGGCTTGTTGTAGAACACTGGTGGAGGAGCTTTAGCAGAAGGTTCTTCCGGCTGATTGAAGTCTTCATCTTGTGATTGGCTGAAATAACCCTCACTGGTCTGGAAAAGAAGACAAAAGACAAAAGCATGGCACGGGCTGTCCTTTGGATGCTCGCTTCCCTTTGCTCCCCATCAGGTAATCTGGAGTAATGTTGCCCCGTTTTGTAGTGCAGATTAGCCTGTCTAAGCTACCCATGAACACACAAAAACAGAAGGGGGGGGAATCTTATCCTTTTTCATAATCTCCACTCTATTACAGGATGGTTACTGAAGGTAGTTTTAGAGGGGAGCCATTTTGGTCTGTAGAACAGTTAGATTTGAGTCCAGCAGTACCTTAGAGACCAACGAAAGTTTCAGGGTGTCGGCTTTTGAGAGTCAAAACTCCCTTTGTGTCTGATGAAGGGAACTCTTGACTCTTGAAAGCTTCTATCCTGAAACTGATGTTGGACTGACTCTTAAGATGTACTGAAGGATAATTAATCCACGTAAATTAAACATAGCCTTGGAATGCAGTTTGGGAGCCTTCAGAGCCTACACCAAGTCCTTTTTTTTTAATAGGAAAGGAGATGAGTGTAGCCATTACTATTCCCGTGGTGTTGTAAGGAGGAGAAAGGCATAGCGACAGGACAGGCTGGGGTTGACTCTGCTATTCAGGGGCAGGGGGCCGTGGTCAAACCTTCTGGAGCTCCATACTCCTGAGAAGCCTCCTCACCTGCGTGCTTTCCTTTGGGGCTGTCTCCCCATTGGTGAGCAGCTGGGGCTCCTGGTGCACCCCAGAGGCTTCCTGCAGGGCATGCTGGTAGCTGAGTGTCATCTGGTGCAGCCCTTCGATGGCAATCATGCTCGCTGGCTCTTCATCCTGCTCAGCGTCGCAGAAGGTGGCCGGCGGCTCGGGCAGGTCATTGAAGATTCAGCAGGTTATCATCAGAGAGGCCTGCAGAGGCGGGGGGCTCCGGTGCCCCTGGGGGGGCACCCACCTCAACCAGCATGGGGGCAGCTGCGGGAGGCCCATCGTGAAGGTCCCACGGGGCAGGAGTGGGGGGCCCACCCTGGATCTGCCAGGCGTCAGGCGGGGTGGGCTCTGGGACAGCGCTGTCATTCTGCCACAGGTCAAGGAGGTTTTCTGATGGGGGAGCAGGTGGCTGGGAAAACCCAAAGGCCTCCCCCAGATCCAGTGCCCCTTCATTCTGCATGGGCAGTGGGGCTGCTGGGAAGAAAGGCTCTTCTTTGGGAGGCGGGGCTTCTGGGAATGGAGGCTCCTCCTTGGACTCTGGGAACACCAGGCCCTCCAGGGGGCCTGTCCCGCCTTGCTGAGGCTCCGTCCAGTCAGCTTCTGGCCAGGTTGACTCCCCGGGAGGTTCTTCTGCCTTCTCCACTGGTTGCTCCACACTGGGAGGAGCCCACTTTGTAGCAGGTGCCACTGCTGTCTCTTCACTGCTTGGGCTGGAGGAATCTGCAACAGGGAGGAAGAGAACTGTGGATGTTGGGCCTCACACACTGTCAAGGGGGGTCCATGGCTTGAAGTGCTGACAGGAAGAACCAGTTTGATTACCCAGCCCTGACCTATCAGGAGGAACAAGGACAACAAAAGGGTTTGAGAGGTGGGTGGTGGGGGGATGCCGTACCTACCTTTCAAAGCATCCTGCTGCGTTACCTCATCCAGGGCACGCTCGATCTGCTCGCCGACAGGCGTCGAGGCTGTACTGGAGTCGCAGGGGCTGCTGGCGGAGGCAGATACCTTTCTGTGCGTGTCCGTCTGGCTGCCTGTGAACGAGTCATGCAGACACTCAAGAGGAAGCCAAGAAGCCCGATGCTGCACCCTCACAGACTGGGCACAAAAGACACGGTAAACTTCATCTGAAAACAGCAGCTACTCCTTTGCATGGGGTCTTCCAGCTTATCGGCACATCCTGGTCAAGCCAGTCTACAGACCGTAGCAGGCGGCACCACACAGGTTACCTTCCCTCCCTTTCATCAACAGACATGCTGGGGAAATGGGACAAATTCAACCCATCTCTGCTGCCTCTGGAGAGACGGGCCGAACACTGCGTAGTGCTCTTTGGGACACACAGCCCAAGAAACAGAGGTGGCAAATGCAAGGGAGTGGCTGCACTTCTCCCCGATACCAAACAACACTTGGAGTTATTGGATAGCCCCTTCCTACCCCCTTTGCTCTCCTCTGAACCTCAGCCCACCCTCTCTTGCCTTTGCCCAGTCAGATCTGCCCCTGCCCGCCCCCACTGGTGCGCCCACCCTGTACCCCATCCTACTTAGAGCTACACCTCACTTTCACTAGTGCTGCACACCTGGCTGAGCACAGACACAACCCCAGCCGCCGGGTGCGTTTAGATGCCATTCACCTTCTGCTTGCGTACGTCCAGGCGCCTAGCCCCCCCTGTTCTAGGAGGGAGCAATATACGCTCCGCTAAGGAGATTAAGCATCCTAACGGTGGCTTATAGCGAAGGCTCTACTCCCTCGTGGCATCCATAGCTGGCCTTCAATCCGGTGCTCAGATTTAGGGTCAGGCTGCTAATGGAGAGATGTTCCTAGAGCAGCCCACCTGTCAAGATGTTTTTGAGTGAGTGGGGAGGGGGGAAGGGAAGGAAGAGAAGCATCCTTATTGGACAAAGCCGGCCCTCCTGAGGATCCCAGCTGCTGATGCATAATGAAAAGGTGCCTACTCTCTCCAGCTCCACTGCTCTCAGCTGGGGCTACTCTCTGTCATGGAGGGAGCCATGCAATGTGCACGGAAGAATCTCAGAGCCCCAAGTCTTCCCTGGTCCGGTCTGCGGCCAGCTTCTTGGGCTCCAGTTCCTCCTTTCAGAGGGGCCTGCACGGCAAGGTTGGGTGGGACATGGCCAAAAGGCACGAGGGTGGGGCAAGGCCCCTTAAGCAACTGCCTCCCCAAACCAACTCCCCCAAGGCCAGCCTGGGCCTGGCTACCTACATGGGAAAAAGGAGGAGAGGTTTGGTGTACGGTGGCAAGTGATATAGGGGAAGGGAGTCCGCGGAGGGGAGGAGGAGGAAGAGGAGGAGGAGCAAGGCGGCCCACTGTCAGGTGTCTTTATGAAAGGACAGTGCAGACGACCTGCTGAGAGAAAGACAGACAGACGGACGGAGACAGAGAAAGCAGAAGAGAATGGTCAGTCTCCCCTCCAGCCGCACACTCCATCACCCGCCCCCCCTTCTCATGCCACTGGGCATTCAATGCCCACTTTGGGGGCCGGGGAGGCAGGGAAAGAATGTGAGGGACGCAGGTCACTAGGAAGACCAGGATAACTGGAGGAAGCCACGGCAGGGAGGCCAGTGCAGGGGAATCACAGGCACAGTGTCTGGGGGGGGGGGCTGTGAGGGCCAGAGTGGGTCAGTGCCAAAGGCTCGAGTGGCACACGAAAGGCTGGGGAGTGCAAGAAAGTTGAGGGAAAAGAGGAAGCTAAGAGGCAGGAGGAGACCAAAGTGGTGCTGGGAAACAGGCTCATGCTGGACATCTGAACAGTATTGACAATCTGGTCCCCCAAGACAGCCAACCCAAGTTACACTACAGAAACCCAAACCCAAATAACCGCCATGTGTAGTCCTCATCCCAGGCAGAGGGAGAAGCAATGAACAACCCAAGGCACGAGAATATACAAGAATACAGGCCCCAAGGAGTTTTCTAGCGTCTGAGCACCCCGTGCCGTTCCCCGTCCCATCCTTGTAGAACTGTAACCTCTTGAAGAGACTGTGATATGCCCCATTCTTCTCACACAGCCAGGAGGCTGATAGGCTGTATCAAAACTCTCTGCTCCACAGGGCACAGTGACTGCAAGTCGGAAGGGTCTCACTGCCCTGTGCTGCCTCTGCTCTCCCTGCGCATCTGATATGAAACCTCCCACATGGCCACAGCCCCAACTGACACAAATCAGGCCCCAGCAGTATGTCTGAATTCCCTGTCCTCCTTTTATTGGCTGATTCCTTCTGCCCTATTGCACACAGCTCCACTCCTGCCAAGAGGACCAGTCTTGATTGCACCCCTTCTTAAACAGCGGGGTGTTAAGTGTGTGTGTCCTTTGGTACAAACAGGCTGCTATTACATCATTTCCTCTCCAAGGCTGGCCAAAGGCGGAGGAGAACACTGCGGGCTTCCACTGAGCTGCCTACAGACTGGGATATAAATGAGAGCAAAAATGGATGACCACTTGCTGTGGGGGGTCACTAGTTGAATACATTCCACCTGGGGAGCCAATGATCTGTAAGCTCTGGCACCAAAACAAGAAAAGGGGGGGGGACCCAGCACTAAAGCAAATTAGGTAACTAGGAGGTTGAGAAAAGGCAAACCAAAATGAACACACAGCAAGGAAAAAACTAAAAAACCCTGAAGGCATCAATTTTCACAGAATTAAAAACAATGAAGTACAAGAATTAAAATAGTAGATCTCTTTCTCTCCCCCAGAGAGAGAGGGAGAGACAGAGCGCTACTATTTTAATTCTTGTACTTCATTGTTTCCTACTCTGTTACTTGGTGCCCTAATTTCTTTTTTTTAAAAAGACTCTAACCTCCAGCTGATGTGAAGCTGGTTATAGAGATGACTCCACAACACTTTTAACCACTTTTCAATCAGCGACTCTATGATAAATGGCCATCTGCTTGCCCCCAACATTCTCAAACGATGAAATGTGGTGCAGCAGCTCTTCCCACCTTTGAAAACCAGACTTCTATTAAGCTTTATCCATTATAAAGGCTCCCAGCCCTCCTGCAGTAGCAGCAGCATCCAGTGCCAAACACTGTGACCCCAGTCCATGAGAAGGGAGGAATAACCTGCCTCTTGTTCCTAACCAATACTAATTAGAAAACAGCTTAATGGAAACCCAAAGGTAAAGGCAGCATCATTCTCCAGAATTTGGTAGCATTCTTAAAACGGATTCTAAAAATCATTATACAACCGCCCCCAAACAAAATTCCAAGCCACATCCTGCTGCAGTGTGTCCCAGAAGTTGATTATAAAATAGACGAAACCCGGCAAAGATAGCCAAGCAGAATCTGCACTCCAGGCACATTCTGTGCTTACTGACTTTTATTTATTTCTTCATGTTCACAAAATAAATAGTAAAATAAACTTTTGATTACTTTCCCCCCCTTGCTGCTTTCCTATTCTAAGAAAACTAGTCCCCGTCTGTCCGTACTCCTTTTCTAGTACAGGTTTCTGGATCTCATCTCCTTCCTCCCAGATACTCACCTCCCACCTCAAAAGCCAGGTCTGGTTCCATATAGCTTAGCAATGGCTCCCTGTGACCCTTCCCTCTTCCCCTGCCCTTGGTGAAAATATGCACTCCTCCTCCTGCCCCAGCATGTGATGACGCGTACCCCCCCCTACCTGTTCTGCTGAAGGGTGGGGCTGTCTCTGAACCGGCCGAAGCCACTCGCTCTTGCTGCCTGAAGAACTCGCGGGGGTTCTCGGGCCGCTGGGCAATAATGGCAGCTGCCTCCTGCCAGGATACAGGAAGGGAAGAGGTGAGGGAACCACGTAAAGCACAGCCTGGTCACTTGGCATACAGACACCCAGTCAGAAACAGAGCCCAACCTCTCCCCATGCAGTTGCCCGGGCAATAGTGACCAAATATGGTACTCGCAACACACATAAGCGGTGTTCCCCCCACCCCCCACCACTCACAATGGCGCACAATGATACAAAATGGTGACAGCAGCACAAAACTGGCTTCCGACAAAAACAAACACACAGCAAAGGAGAAGAGACAAACACAGCCCAGACTCCATCCTGCTTCCAAGAGGTACAGCTGACAACCAACCCTCCTTTAAGCATGGACTTCCTTCTCAACACCACACGCCAGCTCATTCACAGGACAACAGTGACCAAACTGAAGCCTCTTCCCTCCCCTCCTCCCCCCAAAAAAACTCTGCGCAACAACGACAATCCTCATGCAGCAATAGCCCTGTAGGGTGCATGGTGGTCTGCTGCCTACACAACGCATGCTGTGCCCCGGGGCCGCACTCACCTCCACCTCCGACTCAGACTTTTTGGGCTGCTGCCTGTCTTCGTCGTCCTCCTGCTCCCCCTAGGGAGAGAGGTCAGCGTCAGCCCCAGGGCACCTTGACCACACCAGAAGACCCTACTCCTTCCTAACCTAGCACACAGCTGCAGCAAGGAAGAGCTCTTTGGGAAGCTGCAGGACGGGCTCACAATGTCACCAGCCAGCCTTGGTGCTTCATTCCTACCTCTGCCACAACCGTCCTGGGGGAGCCGGCGGCACAGCTGGGCCACCCTCCCCCAGCTCCTGAAGCATCACTTACAAAGATGGACTGTTCCTTCAACCGCTGCTTGGCCTCCTCCGCTTCCAGGCTCTGCTGCTTTCGCCTAAGAGGGAGGCAAAGAAGAGGACTTGAGATTTCCATGCTCTGACCTCGTGGGGCTTAAGTAGACCTGTGGGCTGGCTTGGCTGCCTTGAGTTGTTTTTTTGCTATACAACTCAGGAACGATCTGACCTCTAGCTTCTTTATTTCAAATGTCTACGTGCCTGGATAGATTCAAGTGGGGTAGCCGTGTTGGTCTGAAGCAGCAGAACAAAGTTTGAGTCCAGTGTTACCTTTAAAACCAACAAAGTTTTATTCTGGGTATAAGCTTTCGTGTTCATGCTTGCACACGAAAGCTTATACCTTGAATTAAACTTAAAGGTGCCACTGGACCCCACCCTGTGTTCTGTGGCCATAGATTAGGTATGAGATTCAAAGTGTAAGCCGCTCAGAGACCCCTTAGCGGGGGTTCGAGCGGGGTAATAAATCGAACAATAAATAAATAAATAAAACTTTGTTATGTGCCTGGATGTACCTTTTGCATCCTCTGCCAATGTTTGTTGCCAAGCCTAGATGTGTTTTGCTCCATTCTTCCCCTGTAAATCTCATTTCCTAACCTGGGAATCACTTTCATGGGTCTCCTTCAAGCCCTCCTCCAAATCTCTTTTTCTAGATGTCTCACACTGAACAGCATTCCT